TATCTCTCTCTCTCTCTCTCTCTCTCTCTCTCTCTCTCTCTCTCTCTCTCTCTCTCTCTCTCTCTCCTCCCTTTGAGGAGCTAGCCAATCATACCTTCCTCCGTGAGGGCCTCTTGCTGCGACTGGAACTCCGTGGTGATGATCAAGGCGTGGTTCCTCACGGTGTTGAACTTGTTCAGTACCAAGGAGTGGGACGGGGGCAGTTCCTCCACCGTTTACGACAGAAGTTGAGGGAGGGGGGGGGTGGAGACACTGACACACATATTGATAGTAAAAAAATACAGAAGCCGAGAGGATAATAGAGGGTGGGAGCGTGCGACCGTCTTGTGGTGGGCCACAGAAAATCCGGATACGATTTGTACCTCTGGACAGAAAGCGGTCGTGGGTGGTTGCTTTCCTTGTTCTGCTTGCGCGTGCGTGTGGCAGGGAGGACCAGCGGACGGAGCAAAAACGAGTGACAAAGCAAACAAAAAAGTATAAAGGGTACGCCGGTCTCCCACCAGCTACAGTAGTTCCACGTCGACGGCAGAAGAACGAAAAGTAAAAAAAAATGGCATCTCACCATGCGGGGATCGAGCACCCTAGGGTCGAAGGGATCGTCGCTTGCCGCGGATGCTGGTGGGGTTGCAATGGCAGCCTTGCAGCACAACGACAGAAAAAGAACAAGGAGAGAAAAACATAAGCAGATGGAGTCAAAGAAACGCCCCGACAGGGGGGGAAGGAGAGCTGCTGTCCCGAACAAAACGTGGAGGAGTAAAAACAAGCAACAAATGTCGATAACTGGCGGAAGCGGCGGGTTTCGCCGAAGCTCGACGGAGAGTGGCGATGATGCCCACACGAAACCCCACTAGAGAAAAATCAACAACAACCGCGACAACAACGGCAGAAGCACCATGAACACACATCTTCCACGCGAACCAAAGCTTAGCCAACCCCCCCCCTCCGCGGGAGCTGTCATAGCACGTTGGCCGTCCTCACCTTGGCCTCCAGAGCCTCGCCGGAGATCACCGACACGATAAAATCCATACCCCCCCCCC